AGGAAGATGTTACCAAACGAAAGATAGACAATTGGCCGTGACGTGATGAGCTACCACCATACAACTGTTCTAGAGGTGAAATTCCCAGAATAAGGATAATATGTGTATGTTGTCACTGGAAAAATACTGTGTTGGTGGAACACTCCTCCCCAATTGAGGACAAAAACCACCCAGCAAAGACAAAAATCATGCAATGAGCGCTTATTTAATGCAAATGGAAAGGAAAGCAAGGTTCAGTTTCCCTTTGTAAACCTGCAGGCATGACACATTCAGAGTGAGGTTGTGACAGCTGAGCCCTCCTGAGAGTAGAGTGGGTGCTTCCTGACGGCAGAGGAACGTTCATTCCAAATCCCAAGAGTATTTCTAATTTTGAACATATTTACTCAATGGGTTTCCTATGAAAGATTTGAACCAAGAGTTCATTGACTTAATAGCATCAGTCTCTCACTATCTCAAATACAGGATGGTGGGAGCTGGGTGTAGAAACATATTGACACAGCAAAGAAACGGAATTTGAGGCTATTAAAAGGGGCAATGAGTCATCAAACAGCTGCCTTCTATAACTCAGGAGAACACACTGGTTCCTTTCGGTATTTCCTACAGCTGTCTGAAATAGGGCTCATAGCATCCTTACCTTAAGGGTCCTGGCTGGGGTGGCTCCTCGTATAGACCGCTTGTATTCAACTCATTACTCCAGCACAGAGGAACATAGGAATGCATTGAAGTCCTTTTTCCAAGAGGATTATTTAAACACGTGAAGATTTGAGCACAGCACCTGGGATGCAGACAGTTCCAGTAACTGGTCTACAAGCACTGTAGCAGAGTTAGATTTCTGTTACTGCGATAAAATATTTATAAAGAGGAAGCACTTAATTTGGTTCATGGTCTCAGAATTTCTAGTCCATGGTATTAGGCCCTGCTCTTTTGGGCCTGTGTCTGATACGATAGGCGGGTAACAGAAAGCAGGAAAGGCCCATTTGCCTCGTGGCAGGAGGAAAGAGTGAGACAAGATGTAGTCAGGACCAGGGTATGCCACCCACAAACTAACTTCCTCCACAAGTTCCATACCTTAAGTTAGCCACAACCCCTAATGGTGCCATGGTTTTAATTTATGACCACCTGAAGGACAGTCAAGATTCAAACTACAGTAGCCACCTCACCATATTATATCACCGCCAATCAGTGAAGCTGTAGAAATACATGCATTTATTTCTTATTATTTTAAGCCACACAGATGTTATCCCTCTATTTTTAGCAAATACACAAATGCATATGTACACACATGTACAATAGGAATTGACTACTCATGATTTTAAACTTGATAAACACCACTGAGTTAAAAAGCATATCATTCTATTGCAATGTAGGAATATTTTTACATAAGGCTATTAAAAATATAATACTTTTTCAACTAAGAAAAATCCTAAATTTAATCACCTCTTAGTTGGTATAGGATGGAATATTTACAGAGAGAAGTAGACATCAAACACATCTGATTTAAAGTGACAGACTCATCCTAAAATGGGCAACTTAAGCACCAAATAAAACTCTGACACTCTTCCTTAAATCAAATACTCTCTTTAGTACATTGTAGCTCACTCAGACAAACATTTGTTCAAGTTGAACTCAAGCAAACACGTGCGTGTGAAGGTGCAGGAAGACTTCCTTCCCCAGGACTGGTTAAGCACTTCCTCTGTACATAAATAAAGGAAAATGGAATAGGTTGAGAGAAAAGTAGCCACCACTGTTTTATCAATGAACACAAGAGCTCAAGAATATCTCATCTATACCCACATTAACATCAACTGCTGGTGTAAAATTCAGGACAGAAAATGAAACCCAACGAGGGGACGGTGGGTGGCACAGAAACAAGAGTCTCACGGTGGGAGACGGAGCCTCAGGGCCCACCAGTAATAACATAGCACTCCTGAAGGAACAGAAAGAAGAATGAAAGTTTGGTCCCTCCACACAAAGTGTGGTCCTGTCTGTAACTGTAGTAGTAACCCTAGGCATGTTGAGCAACAGGTGTTGTAGCATATTCACAAGAAATGTCTTTCTGTACAAAAGAACTTAAGCTGTGTGAAAATCTGAAGGTACTTTAACAAAAGTGTTTTTTTTTTTTTGACCATAAAACCCCCTACGCATGGCACCGAAGAGTCACTAGATGATGTCTTCTGCAACCGTAGTGTCGAATATCTGGTAACATATTCGCTGCTCTGTTCCGATTGTGACGTTGTATGACTTGATGAGGCACTCGAGCCACGGGTATGCATCTACAGAACAAGAGCACCCCGATTAGCCATTGAACCAAGCATATAACGAGTAATGCCGATTAATTAGAATTTGTACCAGCCTCAGATGAAAGTGATTTAAGTTTCCAAACACTTGCTGCAGAGGCCGTCAATCGTCGCGCCCACGTTTACTCCTCTCCTTGTGCTGACCGCTCATGGGCTGCCCCTGGCTTTTCCTTGACTGACTACCAACAGTCGGAACCTGAACTTAAGATCATATCAGCTTCAGCCTTCATGTGACCTGCCCAGGTGGGAGCAACTTTGGGCCTTGCCGTGATGGCAGCAATGATGTCAACTCCATGTTTGGTGGGCAGTAGGACAGGCTTTTTTTTCAGCAGAAAGCTCTGGTAGATCCAAAAGGCACCCAGGATAAAGTGAGGAGCCCCTGTGTATGGCTGGTATCCATTACATTGTACACACGCACACGCACACGCACACACACACACACACACACACACACACACACACACAATTTTCCTGTATTTTACCATGCCCAGAGACTTATTTCTGGAAATCTAAGCATGGTAAGTGCAATAGCTAACACAAATTAAAACTGAAAACAAATGATGTATCTGGATTAAACTTTGCCTTAGGGGAGCAAAATTCCCCATCTCTTGGAAACTGATGTTAAAATGCAGAGACCAACTGTGGAGGAAGAAACCTTGCTGAGGAGCAACATCTAATAGTCAGCAACAAAGAAGCAGACAGAAAAGAGACTTCTCACTGAAAACAATTACTAGAAGAATCAAACAGCTTGACTTAATTTATGTCTGCAGGTTCCAACAGAAAGGAATTGCTGGCCACAGAAGCACCTGGTAGCAGCAGCTACAATGGCCACAACTCTCACCTATGCAGAGCCAGTGCACAAGCTGGTGTCATGCAGAACTAACCAAACTTCATAGGCTGTGCACAATGAAATTGGAAAATTCTGAAGATCACTATTACTACAGAGGAAACACACTGAGTCAAGCAAGAGAAATGCAGTTTATTGGAGGGCATTTTTTTTTTTTTTTTGTACAAACTGCATCCATTTGGTATAAAGAAATTTCACTTTAAAGAGTTTCAGTGTCTCTATGCTATATGGGCAAACTCAGAGTCAAAGATGCTGTGGCCATAACTGCTATGCTTTAAGTGTTTCCAAACATTTTAAACGTCTTTATTTACATTAATTTTACTTCTGCTGTCATCCCCTAAAGTTATTGGTCACATTTAGTAATTCCCATGGTTACATAGTTTTCCTCCTTCCACCCACAGCCTACAGATTAGATACACAGTAGGTGATTTTTCAAGAAAGGGAAAGAAGCACCTTTAAAATACTGCCTACCAATTTTTATTCCTGGAGGACACATCACATTCATGATCTTTTCCAGATTCTCCTGAAGGCTGTCATCAGTGAGGACTTCGGATGCTGGGATCTGGAAAAATTTCTCCTAAAAATGATGACAAACAAAGGAAATAAAGCATCTGAAAAGCTTTAATGCACAGAATGTCAGTAACTAATTTGCTAAAATGACCTTTTATACACGTATCAGTCTGTTAAGGATGCAGAATTCATAGATTGGAATTGCCTACGCTGAAGCCCAAGCCTCCACTTTAACTGTGAAATAGCCTTGGGACGCAGACGGACATATGGTCAAGACCACGCAGCAAGGCTGATGACACTGGTTTACCCAGGAAGGAAATCTAGTGTTGAGTGCGAATGATGCAACATTAAGAAAAATTTATTTCATCTCTTCCCCTTCTACATTATGTTTAGGGGAAGGGATTTTTCTTGCCTTGCTAACTGTTCTATTTTGAACACAGACATGGCACACAGCAGCTGCTCAGTAAATATTCATTTAATAAGTGGTTGCATGAACTTTGCAGCCTGGAGGAAAAAACACTTAACCTCAACTTGGATTGTTTTCCTTTTTTTTTTTTTATTAAAAAACCGAACCAAACCAAACCCCAAATATAAAATAATAAATATATAAATAAACAAATCAAAACAGCAACAGCAAAACTGTCTTACTCTAACGAAACATTGGTCCTCTTTGTATTTAGTATGGCATGGCTTGTGGGAGCAGGTGAACTTTTCCTGGAGCTACAGGTCACTCTGGAAGGCCTATGAATGTCATTTGAAGTTGGGGAGCTTGGGGTACGCAGGAAGAGAGCAATCAGCCACATGAGCAGTCAGTTATGACGATGTATGTGCTGAAATCACACCAGGGCCTAGGTCACTGGTACTCAACCTGTGGGTCGCTACCTTTGCAGGGGTGGGGTATGAAATGACCCTTTCACAGGGTTCACAAATCAGACACTGCACATCAGATATTTATATCACAATTCAAAACAGAAGCAAAATTAGTTACAAAGTAAAAACAAAATAATTTTATGGTTGGGGTCACCAAAAACCTTAGTTAGCAGGCAGAGAACTACTGGTCTAGTCTAGTCAAGCATCCCTAGCTGCCAGTACTCCATGTATACTGTTATATTCAGTGCAAAGAATTAAGTCCATGTATTGAAAAACATCTGGATCTGCAGAGACCCACAGCCAGATACCATGAGGGGGAAAGAGTCTAAACTGGAGTTCCCCATTACATCCCCCCCCTCAGAGCTCAGGGACTCCTGCAGAAGAGGAGGAGGTAGAAAGATTCTAAGAGTCAGAGGGGAGGGAGGGCAACAGCAGAACACGGTCCTTTGAATCAACTACGCAAGGCACGCATGAGTTCACAGGCCCAACATGGGTCTCTACCAGGTCCTCTGTGTATATATTATAGCTATTCGTTTATTTTCACGGGACTCCTGACAGTGAGAACAAGTTTGTCTTGATTCTTGTGCCTGTTGTTGGGACTCTAACTCCTGCTGGGTTGCTGTGTCCAACTTCAATATTAAAGTTTTTGATTCATCTTATTATAAAAAAAAAAAAAAGAGGATGAGCTTGGGAATTCTGAAGCTAAGGGAGGCCTCAAGGAATTCTCAACTTAAACTACTAATGTCAGAAATGACAGCGGTGTCTGGGGCTCTTCCACATCTCATACAATACTACATGTCTGCTTATCACGCAAGCTCAGTTCCTTTAAGAGGAAAGTATGCGGAGGCCTGCACAGTGCAGTGAGCTCACGACAGAACGGTTCCACGGCTGCTCTCGGCCCATGGAGGCCTGCCTGCACAGTGCAGTAAGCTCACAACGGAACAGCTCCACAGCTGCTCTTTGCCGAGCACTGGAATTTCTGAAGGAATGGCTCCTCAGATATGGATTCCTCAACTTCATATTTTTAAAATTTTGATCTAATCAAAAGCTATAGACCATACAGTTTTAGATTTATGTGGCTGTATTGCTGTTATATATTCTAAGTTATTCTAAATCCTTTTAAGAACAAAATACAAAGAAATTGAGTTTTAGGGTTCAAAAGGATTCAGTAAGTTATACTGAAGTAAAACTAAGTAGGATGAATATTAAAAATTTGAAATAAAAACTTTAGTTAACTATTTTTACCAGGTCTCTTACTTACAGAATCCTTAAGGTAAGCGTCCAATACTCCTGTTCCATCATCAAAACTGAACATCATGACAAACACATACTGCAGAGGAACAATGCCCAAAACTAGTGAAAAAAAAAAAAAAGAGCATATTATTCCAGGCTGCTATATTTTTCTATAAGGTAAACCCTAAATACTCTACTCTAGTGAACAGGTGCAGACCATGACTACTCAGGGTATCACAACAAAGAACTGCTTTCTTCTCTAGAATCAATTTGTTAAAACCATGCAACAAAAACCCTCTGGAACATTCCACCATACTTATGCAGTTATAGTTTCATAATATAAGGAACTGTATTCTAATACTTGGTAGAACCATAACAATTAATTATTAATTAGCTAATGAATTAGGACAATTCATTACATGTTAATTACATGAAAAATGAAATTAAAAGCATAGACTGCTCTAGAAAGCAACACACAATATTGTTAAAGGCTTATACCCCTTTACACTGAATAGAGTATCCCTTATTACTATTAATTTTTTTCAGAGATGTCATCTGATTGAAAGAATAAACATGCTAGAATCTGGGGTTCCATAATTGCCAGGATGAGAAAGAATGAATAAAGTGTAGACACTACACATGACAACTTCAGTTACAGGCAAACGTCTCTGAAGACACTGCCAGGCGTATGGGATGTTTTATGACCTTCCATTCTCACAGACCATATTATGGCAGGAAGATTAATTAGGGAGGCAAGACAGACGAATAAATTGGGGCACAGAAAAAAATTAGTATGGAAATTCTGGCTTAAAAAGGTCTCAATAGTTCCACTGAAGCAACCCAAAGAAGGATGAAACTCAAAACCATGGCGGATGGGAAACGGTATCGTCCAGCTCGACAGGGGACGCTCATGCGAAGTAACAGGGTACGAGATAGTTGTACCACAAAACAAAACAGGCTACAAGAAGCACACATAAACACGTTTATAAAATGAAATTTTAGTTTAGGAGAAAAAATCTGGGTGTACACTCTCACAAAAATAGTAATTCTCACTATATTTTGAGTTGCCCAAACTAAATTCACAGCTCTCAATTGCTGTAAAGGGCAAACACAAAAAAACATTGGCAGAGTGAAGACTGATTGAGGAGACAAAGAAGTCAGGAAAATGGAAAAGCAATAAAGCAGGGAAGACGGCCAGCCTGAAAATGTGGACTCAACAGGGACACAACACTGAGGCCTCCGAAGAGCACTGTCCTTATAGAAGAGGAAAGACATACGTACACAAGAACAGGATCCATCTTAGTAGGCAGACCTGACTTCACTACTAAGGGCTTTCTAAAGCTTATGCCTTAGAATGTACCCTGCTCCTGGAAGCTAAAACCAAAGGCTGGGTGATTCATGTGTGCAGTCGACAGCCTCCTATGTGCTGACTGAAACTAGAAGGTAAGAGCCATCCCGACACCTTGTCCATCACTAGGTATTTGCCAGAAGTGTCGCAGGATCTGTATCTGTCATCAGGGATTACATGGAAAACAAATGGCCTGACACTGAGATATGGTTCCGACTGTGGTGCTTGTAAAGGAACATGAGTATCTTAAATACTTAATCCTTATTTTAGCATAATTGTTACAAATAGGATTAAGAAAAGTTAAGCTAGTTTTGATATAAGTATTCACGAATATTGAAATATAAGTCAGTGAGATGAAAGAGCATTAAAATTTTAGAACAAAAATCCAACTCACCTTCTGCCACAGAAGAAGGAATCCACATTCTTTTATTAGGAATGGTTCTTAGGTTTTGTATGGGTTTCAAGTTTGAGCACTGTTTACATCTAAAATGAGTAAACGAGTAAGAAGAAATGGGAAGTATTTAAATACATTCAAATTTACTCAAGTATGACATCTTGTTAAGCACGGACAGTTTTAGAACCGGCTATTGAGTAGAAAGAGCACCTCACTATCGATGCTCTAATGGTTGCTTTATAAACCAGTTAACAGAAGACAGGGCTGTGGTGGCTCTAATGAGAATGGCCCTCAGGGGCTCTTATGTTAGCACGTTTCTTTCCCAGCTGGTCAAACTGTGAGGGAAGCTTTAGGAGGTGTGTGTGGCTGAGGTTTCCAAAGGCCCAGTTAACTTTCTTCCTCTAACTTGTGGATATAGCTGTGAGCTCTCGGTCCCTGCCTCAGCACCATGTTTGCCTGTCTGCTGCCCTGCCCCCTGCGATCCCAACCACGGACTAAGACTCTGAAACTGTAGGCAGCACCGTGTTTGCCTGTCTGCTGCCCTGCCCCCGGCTACACCAATCACGGACTAGCACTCTGAAACTGTACGCAGGTCCGGAACTAGAATGCTGTCTTCTATAAGACACCGTGGGCATGGCGTCTCCTCACACTGTAAGAACAGTGACTGAGACAATGGGCTTCAAAATGAATAACTTGAAGTTGAGAACCAGGAACTGGACTCTTGGTCCAAATCATTACATAATTTGGCTGTTAATTTTCTTATCTGTTAAAACAAAAAGACATGAGAGAGAAGTTGCAGGAACATTGAATTTATAGCTCTGTGAGCAATATCTAGTGGTCAGTCATAAAAAATATAGTAAGAAAAAATTATTCTGAATGAACACTGGGGACAAATTGGATTTCAGGCAAATTCCTGTTTTTAGTGAGCACAAATTCAAAGGCATCATGTATGATGCCTGCAAGTCAGTTCCTGTCTGGAATACAGAACATCTGAAACAAGACAGTTACTAAACTGAATGTCATTGGTACAACTTGTCCTGTTGATATAGCAGTAATTTAATTTTATTAGGCAAGATGAAATGTGTATGAGATGTAGTAAGAAAATATGCTTACAAAATATATTTGAATAAAAATTAGAACTCAAGAGTACCTGTAATTTATAAATTGGGAAAGAGGATTCATTTAATCATTAAATATATAGATATTTCTTCACTAACAGTAATAATGAAAAGATAATGAATGAAAAGAAATCATTAATATTAGACAAATTGATAGGCAAGCTGATACCTAACTTTTGGTGTCTGGGGTTAGACTTCGGTACTGTGTACGAGGAAGGTTAGAAGAAATGAAGGGAGAGAAAAGAATGAAGGATGATCCTGTCAGAAGCAAAGCCTAGTCCATGGACTTATTCAAGGAACAACAGGAAACGATGTGTTTTGATATTTCAACTAAGTGGTATATAACCTTCCAGGACATTTAAAGATATAGACACTGGGTGCTCCAGAGAATTAGGTACAGACATTCATTTTTATTTTAGTGCTTAAGTTTTTCACCCATTGTGTATGAAAGAAAACCAAGGGCAAAGCCCATTGGTTACCATGGTTACTCTAAGGGCCACAATCATGCAGCTATGATAATGGCAGAAAGTAATTTTTTAATGAAAATTAAAATTTAGGTTCATTATAACAACAACAACAAATGCTATACATTTAAAAAGAAAATGAGGGGGTCAAGGTATGTAACCAAGATCTCTCTAGGTTACAGTTTCAGAGTGACTCTTTCATCACAACTTTAGGGCGCTTTACTTTGCCCTGCTTCCAGCCGTAGGCTCCACGCTCTCTGCCAGTCTTCAATGGCAGTAACTCTGCAAAATGCTGTATGCAGTTCTGGAACTTACTCAGTTCACAACTCTGAAATGTCCCCTTAGCTGATTCCTAAATTCTTGTGTAAGAAACAAGTTTAGTTTGCGTCTGAGATACAAAATGTTGTAAGCCTTATATGTTGCACACAGAGTGTTTAGAACTCTATAAACGTACAAGAAAAACTGAGTAAGGATCCTCCAGAACTCTAATAGGGTTGCGTCAACACATCTAGACGTAGCGCCCCACACAGCTGTTTACCCTGACGGACAGTCACTCCCTAGCATGCTGACTATTTCATCACACACCACCGGACTAGAAAGGGAGAGTTTGCTGCCCCTGCACCAGTCTGTATCTCTGGACACAATCACTACTCCTGGGGAACTGTCTCTAAGTAGGAACTGGCACAACAGTATCAGCCGCACATAGGGCAGCTGGAGGACAAGCAATGGAGATGCAGCTGTAATTCTGATGCTCGAGATGAACACACACCCATAGTGACACACCTTTCCTCGTATGAGGAATGGTGCTGCAAGGTCTAGGAGCTCCAGGTCCTCAGGGCCGGACCTCACGGGGATCACACCGCCAAACACGCTGGACAGTTTAGAGATTTCACAGAGCCGCCCTCCTGTAAAACAACAGAGGAACTCTTCAAAGCCCGTGGAGTCAGAGCATTCAAGAAAACAATAATGTGCATCACCAGACTCCGTGTACATTTCATCTCTACATGGTTTATTTTTCTTTACTCCTTTAATCTAAGACTGTCTGTACTCTGTCTCTTTAAAGACTGCTTTATTCTTTAAATTATTTACTTCTTTTTATAACTGTCTATGCTCCTTTCTTCCTCTCTCGCAAGCCCACGTACATTTGAAACACGCTGTGGCCCGTTCAGAGGTTTATTTTTGTCTGAATCTGTCTTTACTGCATATCTGTAACCATTTTCTGACCAAGAGCGCTTCTTAAAATGCGAATGGCTTGGCTACGACTAAAGCTGCTTTGACTTTTGGCTCTGCACAGTCCAGCGTGGTTGGTCTGTTCACTGCCGGCTCTGCGAGGCACAGTCATGGACCCAGCCCAGGGATGCAGTGGGTCCACGTCACCATTAACTAACTTGTAGCACACTGCTCACAAGCCCCATTTAAGTTCAGGGCCTCCCGGAAGAGCCAGAGTTTGTGCTACCAGCATGAAACAGAAAGCCACTGTTTAAAGAAGTCTTGCAGTTTTTGCTGCTTATGCCGAGTCAGGAAGCCATCTCTTAGGTGAGACACACCTCTGTTCACTGCTAGTAAACAGAGCCTATCTGAAAGAAAAACGTGGCTACCAAGAAGCTGTGCTCAACTCTGTTCTCTTGTGTCTAGAATTCCTTCCCAAGCTCTCTCAATTTTTATGTGGATGTGGTTGTCCCAAGCTGGTGCCATTTTGTAAACGGAGAGTACTCTTTAGTTCCCAGCCGCCCAGACTCAAATAATCACACAGAAACTATATTTATTATAACACTGCTTGGCCTATAAGCTCAGGTTTCTTATTAACTAATTCTTATATCTTAAATTAACCCATTTCTATCAATCTGTGCATTGGCACGAGGCTGTGGCTTACTGGAAAGGGTGTCTATCTCCTTCGGCAGCTGCACCGTGTCTCCCTGACTCCGTCTACGCGCTCTCTATACCTCTTACAGCCTGGCTATATTCTGTCTTGCTATAGGCCAAGGCAGCTTTATTCACTAACCAATAAAAGCAATTCAAATACAGAAGGCCCTCCCACAGCAAAATGTGACACAGCAAAGGAAGTTACAAGTTTAGAAAATATGTAAACTTTGCATGACAAAGAAAAAATGAACTGTTACATAAGAATTAGATGGAAAAAGGACAGGAAATAGCACAATTTCCATCCATGGTTGGTGATTTTCATCCCAGTATTATGACCCAACAGTGACACCCAGAGGCCAAGATGACAGCTTCACATGATTTATGAAATCCACTCTGAGCTGATGAGATTACACAGGAATCCAGTAATGTAGGCAAATGCACGTTCAATGCTACTATGAAAGTGCAATTCAAGTAGGTATGTGCGCTCATGCATTTGAATCTGATATACTGTCTTGAGAAATTTAAATTAAGAGCACTTTTACTTCATAGGTACAAAGTACCATAAAATATAGTCAATAATAATAGGGGAGAAAATATACAAAAGAATAGTAGAAAAATCAAATCATAAGTGTCTTACCTTCTATCAAAATTAGACATTCATCTGAAATAGGGAGGATGCCATCGTTTTTCACAAAATGGACAGCGACCTGACGTCCTCCTTGACCTTTGGTGGTCCAGACCTCTGAGTCATACAATGACGTACTTTGCAGTCTGCTCTCTGGAGATTTAGTTGCAGCATCTTGAAAAATTTTATCCACATTTTCCTCACATGGAACTTCTTGCCTAAAATGATTGATGACAAATTATTCGCAAAAAATGCAGGTATATTTTTAAAAATTCCAATTGAGTAAATGACTCAAAAGCAAATTATTTTAGAGGCTGAAGAGATGGCTCAGAGGTTAAGAACACTTGATATTCCTGCAAAGAACTAAGGTTCATTCCCTGGCACCCATATGGTGACTTCAAACATTTGTAACTCCAGTTCTGAACTTTATTGGCTACCACAGCCGTGGGGACCAGCCTCAAGGCTGTACAGGACTCAAAGGGAAAGCCACAGCATCAGGGAAAACTGAAACTTTTCCATCTGAGGGGTTAGGGAAGAAGACATTCACATGCTTTCCTCACGGTTTCTCTTTATATTCTTTGTACTTCTGTGTTCTTCCTGTGTTCCGTCTAACACCATCTTTACTCTTGATATTTCCCTTCTAACTCTCTCATCCCTGGTGTTTTCTTTCTAGCCATCTTAACTCCCTCTTCTGTTCTCTGTCTAGCTCTCCTCTTTCCCCCACAGCTTATATACCTAACAAAATCTTTCAGGCAAAGCAGAAGTCACAAATGGCTTACATTTCCTTTCTCAAGCAAATGATGGAAAACAGTCACCCCGACAACTCACATGCAATATATCTAAGTAATTTGTATCTTGGAGGGCTGCAAATTGCAGTCGTAAAGATGGGTTACTATATTATCTGTCGTGAGAGGTAATCTTATAAAGTAGTTTAAGGAGTCATAAACCTAAACTAATGAGGAGGCCAAGGAAAATAAGAAAACATACTCACTTATGTCCTTTATAAACATGTGGTTCTCTCGACTCAGAGAGAGGAGCCTAGGACAAGGAGCCTCTTGGGTGACATAAATCCTCCAGTATGGGCTCAAATCAACACTCCTGAGATACCGTACGTCTTAGCTACAGCTTAGTGGGCACTCCCAAGACATTGTGACACCAATAGTGTTTTATATCTCAAAAGTATACTTTCTTTACTGTAACTATTGACCGGAAGTAGAAACTTGTAGTCAAATGATTCTCTGTAGCCCTGACCAGCCAGAAATTCTCCCCCTGCCGTGTTTCTGTTTCTAGACCTTGGTTTCTGTGCTGCCGTCAGCACGAGTCCAGGACCCATCTTATACATAGTCAGTCAGCTGAGCTCTGAGTCACAGAGTTCATACCCATACCAGAAAACGGACGTCAAAAATCTGCAGATAACTAACCAAGGAAAGTGCAAGCAGCAATCAGTTTGCTGTGCACTTTTAACCCTAGCCCGCCAAATCAGATGCTCAGCTATCTGTCCTTGTAAACTTTTCAATTGTTTTTCTGGGGATGTATATCTTAAAAACCACTAGCAAGGCATCTGTTCTAAACTAAACTATCATTTTAAAGTTTTGTTTCTGCTAAATGGTGCACAACAAAATCTGAAAATGCATATTTTGAGCATTAAGATAATTAGAGCCAGCCTGGCTCCTGGGGACCTCACAGGCCCTGACTGGGCCGCATGTCTTTGTGTTCATTTTCATTTATCACAGCCTTGTATCAGCTAACATTGTCAATGCCAATTAGACAGTACAGCTAAGGAGGAGTCATCTTCTTAAAAATCCACAAATAAAAATGCTCAGTAGACTGAGAGATATTCATGAAATAAACACTACAGTGTAGGCAGCGGGGACTCCCCACATCCAGCAGGGGAGACAGCAGGAATAGGCAAAGTTACAACAGAAGCAAAGAAATATTGCAGAGTCTGCAGTCTTGTAACCTTCTTAACGAGTTTTTAAGAGAGTTTTCCTCCTGGGGCGCTGACACCTTGAGTTTTAATTGCCATTTGCTGTTCTTGTGACATGGCTACTGGTATCAGGCAATAGATAAGGTACACCCCCCCACACACACATAAACACACACAGGCAAAACACTCACACAAAATAAATTAATCTACAACAAATTTTAAATACTATTTTATATGCAGATTAAACTAGCTAAGCTTGTTTAAATTAAGGACTTAAGATTTAATGAATTTCATTTAATTTAATTTCGGATTTAATAAGTTTTATTCAATAGGTATTCAACATCGTATGGCTAGATAAATCCATTCCCATAATCACAGAGAGGCTGTATTTATAGGGTCTGTAGAGGTCAGAGAACAATCTCCTACTATGGTGGTCACAAGCTTGGCAACAGGCATCTCCACGTACTTACTGCCCAGTGTAGCGCCCAAGGTGACCTGTAGTTATTCCCGGGCCCAATTAGTTGTTGAACAAGTTTTTACCCCAGTTAATCTCATTGTCACGGGGGACCTACTTTAAAAAGTTATTAGCTTCATTGTTTTTACTAACTGGTAATTCACACCAGTGTGATAAACTTCCGTGTGGTAAACACGGCCTGGTTTGGAACTGACCTTGTCACCAGCTGGGCACCAGTGTGTCTTTAGGTTCTCTCTTACACTTTCTAGAGTGCTTTGTTCTCCGTTACAGGGTATCTGCCCGAACACCACCATGCTCCCCATCAGAAGGAAAACAAATTGAACCTCTGAAATCATAAGTGAGCCACCCCGATTACATGTTTTTCTGATAAGAGTTATGCATTCATGCCGTCTCTTCGCAGCAATACAAACCCTAAGACACACACTATCCCATGTGCTTGCTTCTGCACTACCTGCACCTCCCCAAATGCCATTCTGTCTTTTGAGGAACTATGGTTCACTGCATTGAAAAAATAAACAGAATTTAAAGTTCTTTTATCATGTTTTGAGATGAATATGCATTGTTGAGAATAAAAAGCGCTCTGTGCCTGTGTTTATACATAAATGCTGATATCTGGATTGAAGGTACTGCACTTTCTACATTCATATCAAAGCTACCAAACATTAGATTCCAAGCCTGAAAATATCCATTTTTATTTGTTATTACTAAGAATGACTCAAAAATTTTTTGTAGCACTTTCCCTCAAATCATTAGCATTCTTTTAAAATACAACAAATTAAATCAAAATTTACCCATTTCTTAGGACTTAAAACCACATACACACACAAGCAAACACACATATGGGCATGCATATAATCAAACAATATGAGACAAAAACTTTTCTTTTTAATTGGAAAATACTTACAATGAATTACATTTAGGACAAAGAAGTTTAACAGACTGGAAAAGTCTTCTGGGCTCATATGATCTCAGTTTTGCTAGGATTCGATATTGTTGAGGAGCTCTTTGCTGCAAAATGGCACTCAGTGGTGTCTTCTCTAAATAGTGGTGATCTGTAAGTTCTGTAAAGAATATTTGCATAAGAGTAAATAAAGTACAGTGTCTTAGGTATGCTCAGCATGAATTTCCCTGAAACAAATATACACCATAACATCAAGTTACTCTCGGCTACAGTCGCAGTGATGAGATGCGGACTTGGCCATGGACACAGAGCCAGGGGCACAGCAGGACAATGGACATGTTAATTACATACGAAGCACATAAGTATTTCTCTATGGGACTAATAGAAATTCCAGGAAAACTCTAATTTGTGGGAAATAGTAAGGTTTATTTCACCAATAAAATGGTACCTGTATAACATGTAAAATTGCTCACTGCCAATCTCCTAGACAAATATTTTCAGGCAGTAGCTTATGGTATTTATAACTAGAATTTGATCAAGAGATATTAAAAAAACACATTCACCAAATATTATTTGTCACACGGTCTTTTGACCTGGGTTCAAGACTTTACTGAACTGTCCTTTATCAAAGAGTCAGATTGTGAGGTGGAAACGGTTGTTGGGAGGAACCCAACCATCACAGTGTTTGCACGAGAAGGGATTTATTTTGCAGGTAGAAAGGGAAGACGGTGGAAGAGGGATGATGAAGAGGGGAAGCAATCAGAATCACAAAGGCAGAGAAGGCCTGAGAACAGAGCAAATGACTGACAAACAGAAATACGGAATTAGAAGTACAGGAAATTGGGATGACAGGAACGTGTCTACTCCTCAGTCTCTAGGTAGTCTAGGGTGCACTTTCCTATTGTGGAGAACGAAACTTGTACACAGCTTTGTAAACTTCATAAACCCAGGAAAATCACTTCTGTTCACAGCTTTAAGACCCTCACAGATGTCTTCTTCCTGTGGTAAACAGCTGAGAGCTTACAGTGAAATACTCCCTGCCAGGCAGGTTTCATCAATTTAAAGTAGAACGAAACAGCAGCTTCAGGTCGCATTCTGAAACATTGTTTCAAAAACTTTAAACTTTGTATTACTTTTAGGAAAAACTGTGAGAACATAAAGTCCCCCTGAACACGCTTTAAAAAGATTCATAAATAGCTGTACACAGGCACATTCACTCTGCCCTCTGGTCCACCTCTTTCCCTATGTGTATTAAATTACTGGAAACAGCTTCCAGACATCAGGTCCTGATCTGCCACCCCCTGAGCACTTCAGTATTTCATGAAAACAATGTGTTTCCTTCACAGAGCTACAGTGCCTGCTTCAAATAATTAGCACAGATTTAAGACTATTATGGGACTGTCAGATACTTCCCTCTCTCCAGTTGTCTTTGCCTTTCTGCTGTAATTCTAGACAATGCATATTTATCTTTCCTGTGTCCAGGCTTCAACATCAAGTGATTCTTTGTCTATTTACCTGTTTACCTTGTGGTTATTTTGCTGAGTACAAATCTACTGAGGTGTGGCTAGTTTGTTTTTTCTCAGTTTGAGATTCTAATCATGTTTTTTTGGCATAGAGACTGCATATCTGACATTATACTTCTCAGTACACCCAAGGAATGAATCCGCGGGAATGGACCTCCTCTCCTCCTCCAGGGGAGGGACTGGTGCAGCTCATTAAAGGATAACTTGCAAAGGTAAATGTGTTATTCTTTATTTAGAATCTAGTAGTTTAAAAGCCACAGACTCACAAACCACTAATTACCACTGTGTTGGCAAAATGATGTTATTTAGTATTTTTTCTTTTTTACATTAGTTAGCCATTTTAGCCCACAGAGTTTTCCGTCCAATCCCAGTTTATTGTTTCCTCATTAACAGCCGAGTTCAGACATCTGGGCTGACTCACTGGATATCCTATCACCAACATGATCTGATGAGCGGGTCGGACTGGCTGTTTACCATTAGCTGGGAATGTCTTTATTTTCTAGCAATTCAGGATGTTCTTGATTTATCTCTAATTCCCTTGACCAAATTCTGGAATCTGTTTTTCCTCCAGAGATACCTGGAACATTTTCATAAGTATATTTTCTGTGCACTATATATGCTTACTGCTTCTGGAGGTTGCAAGCACAGTGCTCCTATGGCAATTTTCTGTATAACATCTAAGGCAGTGGGCTTCCTAAGCAGGTGTATGCGCAGTAGTTACTGTACCGGAAGTGGCCTTACTTGTAGCACAGAATTGCTGACATCTTTCTACTGCATACAGTGAAACCAAATCTGAGTCAGAGTCTACAGGAAGAGAAAAGAAAATAACACAATATGTAGCTCTTTAAGATATCTGTTAGAAACTTAATGTAAAGCCGAGACTTCGTAACACTCTCCAGAGAAACTGAAGAAAGCATAAATAAATGTTCAAATGTCTCCCCCCCCAATTATTTGTAAATTCAACATAATTCTAACAAAAATAACAGGTTAGTCACAAAAATTGATAGGCAACATTTCTCCTCTTTAAGGGGAATTTAGATAATTGAAGATCATGACAGAAGAACATGAGTGTATTTATACTACATGACTTCGAGACACAGTAGTCAATAAACTAGAGTATTGTCATAAAGACTGGCAAACCAACATATCAAAGAGAACTTAGAAATCAACCCACACTTTGACTGCTGACAAAGAAAGGAAGACAACTCATAAAGAATACAGTATTTTTTTAATATTTATTTATTATGTTACAATATTCTGTTTGCGTGTCTGCCTGCAGGCCAGAAGAGGGCATCAGATTCCACTTCAGATGGCTGTGAGCCACCATGTGGTTGCCGGGAATTGAACTCAGGACCCTTGGAAGAGCAGGCAATGCTCTTAACCACTGAGCCATCTCTCCAGCCCCACAGTATTTTTTTTTATAAGAAACGATTTTGCAACCACTAAAAATTATTAGTAAGGGAGAGCACGTACGTCACAATACACTCAAAAGTGGAAAATAGAAGCCACAAAATAAACTCATTTAGCTCATTGATGTTCTGGTAGGCACTGAAGCTATTTAAACATGAAAAGGGAACAGGTACTCTAACCAGAAGTTCTTCCATCACTCCTCGTCCCTCCACATCAAGTCAGGAGCTACTGACATAGGCTCTATCATGGCGACAGAACCCAGCACAGAAGCATACAGTCCACTAACTTCCACAAAAGAACACTTTTGTGAGATCTGGATGCCTCCCTCTGCATCAAAACCCAGATACCCTTGAGCAAAAACTATGGACTGGCTAAGATAAAGGTAAAGGAACCTTTTGCTCCTTTTAAAACTGATAAGCAAAACAGTTGTTGCCTAGGAAATCCAATGAGATTTTTTTCAATGAATACGAGAAACTATACCCATATCATAAGTAAGTAATCACTGTTACTCTAATATGAAAGTGTGAATACATACTAAAAAGTGAGCTGTGCTTAGTTTTGGATGTGACAAGGACAAAGGCTGAAGGTGTTGTTTTAATGTGAATACACATGCACAACATGTATAGACATATGAATTTAAAAAGAGACAGGGAAGAAAACATTCACAAAGATAACTGTGCTCATGGGATTATGATGAAGTAAAATGTCAGTGCTACACACCGTCCTTACTTGAAGGTGTTAAACAGTCGTCTTCATCTTCTGATTGCCAGGTATCATTTGAGGGCTGAATGGCTGCCAAATCTACAGATTCTAAAGCTCTGAAACACAAAAGTGTGAAGTCAAATGGAGTAAGAAAGTCAGTACGGCAATTTACCTCTACTCATTAAATTCAGGAGTCCAAATGTTGAAATAGGAGCGGCGGGGCTGCGTCCCCAGCACCCCGGCCGCCTGCTAGCTCATGCCCGAAATAACAACACACAAACTGTATTCACTTAAACACCGCTTGGCCCATTTCTATCTAGCCTCTTCTCGGCTAACTCTCGCACCTGGACTAGCCCATTTCTAGTAATGTGTGTAAGCACCCCACGGTGCGCTTACCGGGAAGATTCTAGCCTCCGTCCATCCTGGGTCGGAGCTGCCTGGGAGAGCGGAGCCTGGCGTCTCTGCTCCAGAGAGCAGAGCTGTCAAGTCTAACCTGGGAGAGCTGAGCATGGTGTCTCTGCTCCAGAGAGCAGAGCTGTTGGGTCTACCCAGGAGAGCTGAGCATGGCGTCTCTGCTCCAGAGAGCAGAGCTGTTGGGTCTGACCTCACTTCCTCTTCCTCCCAGAATTCTGTTTACTCCTCCCACCTATGTTCTAACCAATAAAATGGGCCAAGCCAGTTTCTTTATTAGCCAATGACCTTCCTCCATCATCCAAACAATCATAAAATGTGCCAGATTCTACTCAATTGTCTATGGATTTTATAAAACTGTCTGAGGACTACAACACCCTCAAAAATTAAGAGCAAAGGTAAGAAAGATATTGCGTGGATGAGCCAGTCAGTATAATACTACAAAAACAAACACACTGTCTGGGAATTGAATGGCTAACATCTGCAGCTGAGAGAATGTCACTCAAGTTTGGAAAAGCAAGCAGCATCAACGAGGGACACTGCCAGCTGGTATGGAAGAAGTCCCTGTTCTCCCCCAGAGCTTTAGCCTCCCCTTCCAGCTCAGCCATCTTCATTCCTCTTTGACTCACCCTCTCTGCTGAGTCCCTCTTCCTGTCCTCCTCATTTTAGCCTCCCCACACTTGCCACTTGCCCTTTGTATCGCTGCAGTCTGCCTACCAAAGGAGCCCCTTCTCCCTGTTCACATCCACTTAGGACTCAGGGTCTTGGTACAGACCCAGGATCCCACTAATTCTTCAACATGACTCCTCTCAGCCTCTCCTTATAGCCCCCATCTCCATTCCTCTGTGACCCCTGCCAACAAGCAGAAAAGCGCTCTCTCTCTCTCTCTCTCTCTCTCTCTCTCTCTCTCTCTCTCCAAGGGATGCTGCAGCCATCACGTTTCACTGAGACTCAGGGATCCCACAGTTGCCATACTTGGATAGGACAGACTGGGCAAAACAAATCAAAGAATAAGACACCTACCCAACACAGACAAAACTAGATATCTACACCAAGAAACATCTGAAACATCCTCACAACAGATGCCTAGCTCACAGCTCAGAAACACAAACATGAGTACCCAAGACCAGAGGGCTCCCCGAGAAGGCAGCAACTCCTCTGCAATAGTCCCTGAGAAGAGCAATTTAGCTAAAACATAAAACAAGGACTTAGTAATTATGAATATGTTTAAAGACCTTAAAGACGATAGAAAAATTAATGAAATATTTGAAAACTCAAACAGTAGTAATAATGAAAACAATTCAAGACATGAAAGTAGAATTTAATAAAAATACTAATGAAAACACAAACTGAAGTAAATCCTGAAAATGAAAAAGTAACGATGTCAAGCAAAGAACTCCAAGGTAAGTTTCACCAACAGAGTACAAGATATGGAAGAAAGAACTTTAGGTCTTGAAGACGGGGTAAAAGAAACTGACAGAGAAGTCAGAATAACCAGCAAACTGGGACACTATGGAAAGATCTTTTCCATGGATAATAGGAATAAATGAAGAAGGATAAAACTGGGTCAAAGGCACAGAAAATACTTTCAACAAAATAATAACAGAGAATTTTCCAATCTAAAGAGATGTTTATCAAAGTATAAGAAGCATACAGAACACCAAATAGAAAGGACCATGAAAGAAACTCCCCATGATCCTCAAAATGGAAACACTAGACAAACAGAACAAAGAAAGGATATTAAAGGGTGGAGGAGAAAGGACCAAATATCATATAAAAACAGACCTATTAAAATAACAACAGACTTTAAAGTAAAGACTCTAAAAGCCAGAAGGGCCTGGTCTGAGATCATGGACGCCAGCTCAGACAAATGTACCAGTGAAAGTACCAATCACAATAGATGACGAAAGAAAACATTTCACAATCAAACATATTCAAGCAATTTCTGTGCACTAATCCAACTCTACAGAAAGGAGAAAACAGAAAACTTCATTCTGAAGAGAAGTTTAATTACACCCTAGAGGATACAAGGAATAAATAACCCCAGAAGTTGGTCCAAATTGAGGAGGGGGGAAGCCCACACCACAATAAGAAAACATTAAGAATTAATAAATATTAACTATTCATTAATAACTCTCCATATTAATGGCCCCAATTCCTAAATAAAAAGACATACTAACTGACTGGAGTAGAAAACAGGATCAATCCTTCTGTTGTACCCAAGAAGCACACCATAACATCAGGATAGATACCACCTCAGGCAGAAGAATGGAAAAAGGTATTTCAAGGAAATGGAACCAAGAAGAAAGCAAGTTAGCGATTTTAATATCTGACAAATTGAATTCAACCCAAAACAAAGCAGAAAAGATAGAAAGATACTACCACACTCAACGGAAAAACCCAAGAGGATATTGTAATTCTAAATATTTATGTACCAAACACAAAGACATCCAAATTCATAAAAGAAACATTACTGTAGGTAAAACAACACACCAACCCTCACACCTTAATAGTGACTGACCTCAATTCCTCACCCCTTATAACAGACAGGTCCTTCCAATAAAACAGAGAAATAGTTGAATTGAACAACATCATAAGCTAAGTGGACCTAACAGCATTTACAGAACAGTCCACCCCAATACCAAAGATCATGCTTTCTCTTCAGCAGTCTATCGAGTTCCCTCCAAAACTGACTACATATTAGGACAAAACCAAGTCTCAACAGATACAAGCAAACTTCAATAACTCCCTCATTCCCATCTGACCTCTGTGGATTAAAGCTGAATATCAACAACAGAAACAACAGAAAGCTTATGAATTTGTGGAAACTGAAGAAACCACTATTGAAAAGAAAACTGGGTCAAGGGAGAAATGAAGGAAACAAGAAACTTTATAGAATTCAATGAAAATGAAAATATAACATACCTAAACTTACAGGACACAATGAAAGTGGTTCTAAGAGGTAAATTTAGATCCAATATCAAAACACTGGAGAAATTTCATACTAATAATGTAAGAACATGCTTAAAGGCTCTAGAAAAACAAGAAATAATACCTAAAAGAAAAAAAGTGATAGGAAAAAATAATGAAGTTCAAAGCTAAAATGAATTTCACCCAGCTACAAGCCATGTAGCCTGCAGCAGATACTTGTTTGCAATATAACCATATAACCAGTGCAATATTGGCACAAAAGTTATAGAAGTTACTCACCACTTTTAAAAATTGGATTTAAGACCTACTCCCTTACATGGTACCCATACATGACAATGTTACGTGGACAAGAACCAAAGACTAGATAGGTCATGGGCCTTATGGGAAAAATATTTTTCTACTAAAGGAACATAGCAATAAAATGACTCCCAATGACACATCGGTATACCCATCAAGCAGGCACCACTCAACCTCATCAGGAGAGTTTCCTTTTGCGGTAGATAGCAATTAATAAAGAGATCACAACTCGACAGTGTGCAGATAGTCGAGACTTTGAAGCAGTCAGGTCTGAATCAAAGCCCTCCCCTCAAAGCTCAGAAGAGGAGGCAGAAAACTCTAAGAGTCAGAGGTGTTAATGTCTCCAGTGATATAGCACCTTCCAGGAACAACAGGTGGGATGTATCCATGACCTCTCAGAGACTGCAACGGCATTCATAAGACCCACACATGTTCAAAGTAGACCAATTCCCAGCCCTGAGAGGGGAAGGTGGACACAAAGTCCCACCCCAAACCAAGAGCACACGCTGACAAGGGAAAGCCAGTGTTCTGCAGTGGAGTGTCCCTGAGTATGCTGAGCACACGCTAGGGGCAGGACTCATGCCAGGAGTATTCGGCCAATACAAAAGGAACTCTGTGTAATTCTTTTTGGATGCACTTTTTGTTTTGTTATTTTCAGTCTCTGTTGATTTTTTTCTTGTGTATGTGTGTGTGTTTTGATTTGTCTTTCTGTTTGTTTTGTTGTTATTTTAAGAGAGAGAAAACATGGAGTTAGGTGTGTAGGAAGGAGGGAAAAATCTGGGAAGAGATAGGGAAAGATAATTAAAATGTATTGTATGAAAAAGATTTAATTAAGAAAAAATAATGGAAAAGTTATATAATATGCTGTACACTGTGAGCTACAATAATATGGAACTAGTAAAATAGAAACTTAATGTTAAAAGCAATTAAAATGAATTAAAACTGATATGACAATAACTTTGTCAGTTTACAGAATGGTGTGCTTTCTCTTTGAAGATGCATTGATTTTCCCTCTAGAATATGAAAGTTTTTCTGTACACAGCAGAATAATAAACACTATGCGGATGGGTCTAAGTATACCAGTGACCCAGTCTGCCTAGACTGGGATGGGAAGATCAGAGGCCCATTTGGCCTAGTCAGGGTTAGAGTCTGAGTTAAATTCTCCACAAGTCCATGAGGAGAATCAGGGAAAAGACAAAGGCCACACACAGCCCAGGAATACTTCCTTATAAATTAACCTAATGATGATCATATTTATATTTTCTAAGAAGAGAATAAAAAAACTCACCTTTTCAGCTGATCTACATCAGGGTTACTTTCTGGTAAGACTCTGATCCCCCGACCATAGCTGGTCCCTCCATGAAGATGAAACTCCAACCTTATCAGTGAAGTCATGGACTCTGAATTAACTGGCTGAAGTCTGGTATGGAGGCTATAGATTCTAAGAAAGCTTCCAATCTGAAAGATTATTAAGAAGATCATTTCAGAAAAGGGGCCTAATGAAAACATTTCTGACATTTGATAATTCAAAACCAAAATGAGGTAGCAATTCGACAAGCAAGGACGGCATCTACCCAGGGGAGAGTGGCAGCAGGGACACACTGGGCCCGCACAGTAGCTCCAGGGGCCCTTATCAGATTGTACACGAGGGGCATGCCTGTGCACACACCCACGCGCTCACTACACAATGCTAGCAGGCTCAATCCCAGAGGGCCATCAATAAAATATACACAAGGAATCCAAGACCTAAATAAAATTCTTTTTGATAGTTATTTCTGAAAAGAATTTGCTTGAATAAATTTAAATGCGATTAAATATGAGGAATAATATCCTCTCACTATGAGACAGGAGAAAAACTTTATAAAGTGTAACTACATAAAAATGGCCTTCTTTTTTTTTCACAAGATAATTTTCTTGATAGCTACAGCAATGCTTGTGCCTTAGTTTTCTGACTGATGAGATTATAGGTATGTGCCACCATGTGCTTTTCCCCATCCTACAAATTCTATTGATATCAAAGTTTTTTAATGAAGCACTTGTACTTTTATCACAATCTTGCAAAATATATTCTGTAAAGTAAAATATAGGATATTAAGGCAGAATTTTGAAATAACGACATTAGACTTGATCTTGGCTATTTTGCTGCATTTACTGTAAAAACAACTAGAGGTTTTATTCCCATGACGATTTCAAGTAAGAACATGTAGTAGGTTAGTCAAAGCCACAGGTGATGTGGTAGAGTCTTTGGTTTTGTGTTGATTTCACTGGTTAATAAAGAAACTGCCTTGGCC